GGGGGGGTCCTCTGATAAGTCCGAAACAACAGGCTGTCTGTGCGGGAAAATGGAAGACGAGGGGGAGGAGGAAGAAAGGAGGAGGTGGAGGAAAAGGAGGGGTAAGGGAGAAAAGGGGAGAGGAGGAGGAAAGGAGGAGGAGGAGGAGGAGGGGAAGGAGGAAGAGTGTACGAGGAGAGTGAAGAGGAAGAGAAGAAGAGTAGGAGTAGGAGGCGGATGAAAGAAGGAGGAGGGAAAAGGAGGAGGAAGGGGTGAAAAAGAAGAAGTAGTAGAAGAAACAAAAAGGAGAGAGAGAGAGAGAGAGAGAGAGAGAGAGAGAGAGAGAGAGAGAGAGAGAGAGAGAGAGAGAGAGAGAGAGAGAGCTTGACCTCCAACCGAGGAGAGAGACTGGGGGACAACATACCACAATCAGATTAGCCAGAGCGTTCATTTACAAAAAGGGGTTTCATAGATAGATGAGAAAAACGATCTTCTGTGTTTTATTCATATTTTATGCATCAATCATTGTTAAGTACTGCTACTTTCATTTGCTCTAAAATTAATGAGATTGGGGCCTACGAGGTTATAACTTGTAACTATTGCAATTATCATTATAATAATAAAAGAGACCAACCCTATCCTTACTAACTGCAGCTCGGAAGTTCGACATAAAAAGTAAAATAGCTAATCACAATAAGGCTCATTCGCTTGCTAAGCGTTCCCAGATTTTGGCTGCTACAGCAGTTTCAAAAGCTTGTTGATTTTTGTTAGTTGGTTTGTTTTTTTTCCTCAAAGCCACAACCTATCGAAGGATCGAATCCATCACATTTTTTATTTTGAGTCGAGCTGCTCAATGACTCAAAAGTCAGGTCACAACTCTCGTAAACAAGATCAGAATCATAATAAATGTTAATAAATAGCATTTAATGCGGCACATATTCCCGCCCAACAGTTAAAATAAAAAGCTGTGAGCTTTCCATATATATAATGATATTATTATCATTACCCAAGAAGAGCTTTGAACTGTCATAGAAATTCTCGGCTTCCCGGGAAACATACAGTACAAGCAGTTGATTTAAGTGCTCGAACACTAACAAAGTGACAATATCCTTTTCTGTTTATAACCGGGTATTCATCCCCATCTTCTGGGTGAAGTGAAGAAAGTTCATGTAAAGGGCCTTTCCTATGGAGGCAACACCGGGCCTTTTGGGATTGGAACCCACGAGCTTTCGGTTGCATTTCAGCAGTCTTACTCTTTTGGGTCGCAAAAGCAAGGATTAGTTATAAAAACATGAGTCTGCATTGGTGATGGCCATGTTGGTCGTAGGACTAACGAATTTGCCTTTAGAAACGTTCACCAGGAAGACAGTAAGTAACCGAAGACAGTAACTTGAGGAAGCGATATTGGCTCACATGAAGATATCTATATCCCGACACCGGGAGAGCAGTTGTAGTAATTGAAAGTTTAATCCACATTGAAACAATATTGCGCCCCGTCAGCCCAGTTTGTATCATGCTGGACAACGGAGCAGACGGTCCTGCTTCGAATCCCAGTTCTTGAACTCGGGTCATTTTGAAGAGTTTTCAAGGCTCTCAACTCCCTTGGCTTTGTCCTATCGGAGATGGGCGTTAAATTCGGATGTATCGCCTCTTGCATAACCTTGAAGTGTTGATAGGGGCGTTAAACTCATACACGTACTTACTTTTTAACTGGTGAATCAATTCAGATCTTTTAATCTAGCAGGCTGGCTGCACGTTAGACCAAACCAGGCTGAGTCGGAAAAATTCCTGTAGAATGACCGAGTATGGTTCTACTATAGCGTTGTCAAAATTCTAGGTGCAACTTTTTTCAAACATTTCCTCAACTATTGAACATAAAATCTCCAGCTTTTACCCAATGCCTTGTATCAATAAGTCTTAACAAATAGATCTATATTTTTGTAGACTCCTGTTAGCTGTTTTCCGGGAAAATCCTTAATAACAACTTATTTTTTTTTTAAACCCAGTGGGTGTACACACAGCCTGGACAATATCCCTATGATTACGAATCTTGACGCTTGATAAAAACTACTGTGCAAAGTATGGGTGACATTGATTCACCCGTTAAAATTAAAGAGATACATTATGTACTTGAGGATAAGTGGGGCCCCCAGTATGAATTACAAATCACATCATGTATGTATCTCCCCTCCCCAGGGAGCTTAGAACTAACTGTAAACTCCTTGTCCCTCCCGCATGTGGAAGTCAAATTAGCGTCTTCATGCAACAAGATGGGGGATCTGATTATGCCGGTGGTTGGGAAGTGACAAATAAAAATAAAATCGCCACCAGATCACCAGCAGATGGCGCAAGCCTTGTAATATCAAACCTGATCTTGACGCACACGCGAGATGATTTCAGGGTGCATCGTGTCTTCCGTCTTCCTTCTTCTTTACTCTTTGTATCCTACCTTTACGGCTAAGCTAAACGGCCCACCTACAAGATGGCGGTAGAGTGTAGAACTAGAAGAAAGGTGATAACTTCACAGGCTCGCCCTACACCCCTGCCCCCCCCCCTTTCCCCCGTGAAAAAATAAAATAAAGGTAATACATGTATGAACAATAAAAATGCATGTTGTTTTTAAGATAATAAAACAAACAACAAAAAGACTACCCCCCCTCCCCCCAAAAAAAGAAAAAAAGAAAAGAAAAAAGCTTTTAAAAACCGAAAACAAATAAAATCACCCCCCTCCCCCCCCACCCTGGACCTTTTTCAAAAAGGTGTTGGCCTCTCATTCAAAGGTCCCAGGTTCGAATCTGGGTAACGACAGACATTTTTCTTCTTTAAAATATTGTCTCTTTTCACCTCCTTTCCTGTTATCTAGCAATGTTCTGTCGTCTGCTTTCGTCTGCTTCCCCCCCCCCCAAACCCGTTTTACCCACTCCTCTGGGCGCCTGACTCTTCCTGCAGCCTTTCTACTGCTACTCCTTGGCTCCTTCTTACCGCTGTCTTTCAGCCACACCCCTGGTCTTCTGGTAGGAAAGATCTACACCAGGCCTTCTCGGACAAGGGCGAAAAATCTCGGAGGGCCCGTGTGCAAGTTGCGCACGTTAAAGATCCCTTGATGGTCTAAAATCGAGAGTAGG